CACTTGGATTGTTAGATAATTTTGTTAATTTTGTGGCATGTTCTAAGTGTCATAAACTATATAATGAAAAAGAAGTGGCTAGTTTTAAGCAGAACAACCAAGTGTCAGTTATAAAATGTTCCCATGTAGAATTTTCCAATTTGGCAGTTAGGTAATTTTTTTTTTATATTTACTTGTCATATATTTATACCTATTTATCTGTAATATTAATTTTACAAATTTATTGAAATTTAATTTTAACAATTTCTAGAAGAATTTGTGACACCAATTTATTAACACAGTCCAAGTTGTTAGATAGTAGTATAATAAACTGGCTGAAGTTAGTTTTTCCTTTTAGTCCAATTAGGTATCAATTGGCTAATATGTATAAACGTCCAGGCTTTGAAAATAATCTTCGACATTGGGTAAATAGATTGAATATTAATGATCTATTATGTGATATTTATGATAGTGATATTTGGTGAACTTTCAAAGATGAACCATTCAATGAAGATTCGGCACTATTTTTTTGTAGTGAAAAAGCAGACTCTTATTTGGGCCTTCTGTTGAATTTTGACTGGTTTCAACTATTTGATAGTACTTCACATAGCACTGGTGTGATATATGTATCTATTGCAAATTTGCTACACGATATTCGATTTAAGCATGAAAATATGTTAATTTTAGGTATATTACCTGGGCCAGATGAAGTGAGTTTGCATAAAATTAACCATTATCTCTTCCCAGTTGTTGACAAATTAGAGTCTCTTTGGCATGGTATAGAATTAGATTCAACTGCCGAGAGTTCTGAAGGAAAAGTTATTCGTATAGCATTAATATTAGTTTCATGTGATATTCCAACTGCCTGAAAGTTGTGTGTGCATATTTCAGCATTAGTGTCATGTCATCGTTGTAAAAAAAAAACGCTAATTATGTAGATAGACAATTTAACTTTGGTGGCATGCAAAATATGAATAAGTGGTTTGTACAGAAAGATTCGGCGATACATCGGCAAAGTGCACTTGAGTGAAGACGTTGTAATTCTGATGCAGAAATAAAGCATTTGTTAAAAAACATAAAGTTCGATAGTCCGAATTACTTCGTCTAAATTATTTTGATCCAATTCGTCATGTAATTGTTGACCCAATGCATTGCATTTTCCTGAGTATTTCTAAGTGACTTGCTAAACGAATATGGACTGATGAAGGTGTATTAATATCAAATATGCTTACAAAAGTATAGCACATAATGAATAAGTTCCAAGTACCATTAGATATCAGCAAAATTCTGGGTAAAGTGAATTGTGGAGAGGGGTTCTCAAATTTTATCGCCGATCAGTGGCGAAATTTTTTTACTATTTATGCTACTGTTGTTCTTTGAGAACATCTTTCGAGTGAAGATCAGCAAATTTTAACAAATTTTGTTAAAATTTGCCAGATATTAGTATGCCGAATTATGAGGCAGGACCTTATGAATGAGGCTCATGAAAGGTTAATTAAGTTAATAAAATTAATAGAGAGTAAATACAGGGCTAAAAAAATTATACCAAATCTTCATCTTTCATTACATTTATGTAAATGGAGTGCACTAGGGCGACCACCAAAAGCCTTACTACATGATCCGCATGCCACAGCCGCAGTACATAGGTTTGATATAAAAGGTTAGTTACATTGTACAACCTTTTATTAACTTGAACTCTTCATATCGATATCTTTTTGCTTATTACAACTTTTATTAATCTCTTAAAGAGACCTTTACATCAAAGACACAAAAGTTTCTTCTATATAAACGCTCCATATCCCTATTAGTAGCATAAAAATGACAATTATCATAGAATTTTTGAAAGCTTAAACTGCATTCCTCTTTCATGTAAAACAACTCCACAAATTTATATAGCTCTAGGCCTTTGGCAGTATATTGATAGTCATGAAATTTATATTCTTCTTTATCATCATCTAGATCGTGTAATCTTTTATATAGTAAAATTATGTAATCCATTTTCACAAGTAATTCATACTCGTAAATAAGCACAGTAAAAAATTCAATAAATTGTTTAATTCGATTAAATTCTCTATTATAAGTGTTATAATCTTCTATACACTCAGGAATTTTGTCTATAACTATTAGTTTCACCATGTATCGTATACTAGTAATCAATCGTTCATAGACAAGCGGAAGAACATATTTCATATGATCTTTAAATTCACTGCTGTCATAAATATTTTCGATTAAATCACTGCAAATCTTTACAATTGGGTCATCCATTTCATTGAATTTTATTATGAGTTTGAAACGTGTATATTATAGAACGGTCAAATATGCTCGATCGAAATTTTATTTTTTTCAAAATGTGCAGTACTGTATCGTTTGGTGTTTAGACTTATACGATTTTTTTACAATCATTAAACAACTATACTAAAATTATCAAATTTGCAATTGTTATTTAAATTGCTTTTATTCAAATAAAATTAGCTTGACCAAAGCTAATTCATTACATTTAATAACTATTTGTTTGCATAAAAAGGCTAATTTATTATATAATTATCAAGATTTCTTCGCACTAACCTAAATAATCTATAGTCGAAATAGCA